TCACCGCTGCGTCCAGGTCCTTCTGGCTGTACTGCAGCACATCCACGATGAGGCCCCCGGGCCCGAGGACACATGGAGGTGGGTCCGGCACCTGTGGGGCGACAGAGACCAGCTGGGCCCCAAGCTCCTCTCGCATTCACTCTGCCCCAGGGAGGACAGGTCCTCAGAGGCAGGAGGAGGCTGCAGGACAGCAAGGCAGTGACCAGAGACAAGGAGTGGCAACCGCGGACCTCCAGCCCACTGACCTCTGAACCTTCAGAACCCTGAACGTAAAACCCAGGCCCTTAACAGACAGGTGTCTCTACAGGCTGAGGCACTCACAGGAAGGTCCGGTGTTCCCAGGAAGTCCAAGTCCACCAGCGTGGCCTCAGGTGGGCCTCCCAAGGAAGGTACGTCAATGTCCTGCGCACTGGAACCAGGACAGAAATACATGCACCGTTTTCCTTCAGAGCTGGGTCTGCCCAGGCTCCCCCCACAGGGCCAGTCAACATTTTAGGAATTGTGGGCCACATGGCTGTCACATCTAGCAACCCTGCTGTCTTAGAACGAGAACAGCCTGACGGATGCGGGCAGGAAGGCGTCACTGTGCCCACAGAGCTTGTGTGGAGGAGCAGGCAGTGAGCAGGTGGACCTACCACAGGTCCCGCTGTCCTGCCCCCCAGCTGTCCCTCACTGTGGGTATTCCAGTTCAGACTTCCCACACGTCCTTTTCAAACTCAAAGGGAGGTGGCATCGCCTCCTGCACCTGAAGGGTGTCAGCTCAGAGCCTGCCGCTCAGAAGCTGGGTCATGACTGCCCCCTTAGTCTGGAGGTCTCTGATCACCAGCATACCTGCCAACCATGCACTGAGCCACTGCAGAGGACATGTACCTGCTGGTCTTGGGGGCCACAGGGGCCAGTCTCTCAGGACTGTCCTTCAGGAGCGGGTCAAACTTGAGGTACAATGACTGCTTCCTCAGGGCTGACTCCTTAAACTGAAGGGGGTGGCACATCAGCAGGGTCCTGGTCGCCCTGATGAGGCGACCAAAGGGCCCGGAGAGATCACTACTCACTGAGCTGCCTCCCAGGTGGGACTGACCCCAGCACAGAGCAGTATGCTCTGGTGGCCCTGGATAGGACTCTGTTGGGACCATGGGATGTGGCTAAGAAAAGCAGCTGCAGGAAGGGGCCCCAGAGAGGCCCAGTGCAGCCTGACATTTGGCCTGAAGAACCATCCCAGCTGCCCAGGTGTGACAGCTGATCCAGGGAAAGTCCCTCCTTGAGACCCACCCTCAGGAAAGGCTGTGGCGGGTGCGGGTACTCACCTGGGATGTCCCAAACTGCTCCAGGTAGTCCACGTCGGCCACTGTGCCTAGAACTGAGGGGAGCACGTCAGCACCACTGCCACCAGCACCCCACACGTGGCGGACTGTGCTTCCTTCGTGAAGCAGAGGCCAGCCCAGCAGCTTCACCGCATGGGGGGCATCCCAGAGCCCCCAGCACTCAGACTGTGCCAACACTGTGCCCTGCCCACTGCCCATCCTGGACCTGGGACCAGATTGTTTTTTGGGGCTGTGCTGTGCACTACTCAGTGTTGAGAAGCAACCCCGACAGGTGGAAACCAAAAGTGTCCCGAGGGCTAAACCATCCTGGTCGAGAACCACTATTTAAAACTACCCCAGAAAAGTCCTTTAGTTTCTGATAACATGAACCTTGCTTAAAAACCGTTTAAGGGGACCTCAAGCCATACATAAAAATTAATTCAAAGTGGGTGAAAGACCTAAACATAAAAGCCAAGATTATAAAATTCCTAAAAGAAAACAAGGATAAATCTTCATGGCTTTGTTTTGGGCAATGATCTCTTAGATTAGACACTGCAATCACAAGCAACAAATGGAAAAACAGAAACAGGCTTCAAAGTTAGAGTCTGTGCTCCAGGAACACAGTAAACAAGGCGCAAAGACAGCCACAGGCTGAGAAAAACTTTGTAAATCTTGTATCTGACCAGGACCTTTTCCTTAGGAGACATAAACCTGGTAACAGAAAGAAAAATAAACACGGACAAAGGATCTGAGCAGATGTTTCTCCACAGCAAGGACGTGAAAGGTGCTCACCGTCACTGTCACCGGGGGACGCAAATCAGAGCACACAGGTCATGCCGCACACCCACTGGGGCAGCGAGGACCAAGAGTCAGACAGCGAGTTTGGCAAGGACAAGGAGAGGCGGGACCACCTTGCCCCTGGGGATGAGATGGAGGGGAAGTCCCCAGTCCCTCAAGAAGTTAAGACAGTTACCTGGGAGCAGGTACTTACACCCAAAAGCAGAGAAAATGCACATCTGCCCACCGCGGGTGCACGCATGTTCACGCAGCTGGAAGTGCAGCCGCACGGAAGCCCAACCACCGGGGCGTGAACGACAAGCTGCTCTGTCTGTCTATATGCAGGTCACTCACGCTCCAACACGGCCGACCTGACGTGCTCAGTGAGAGCAGCCAGACTCAAAACCATGGGGGTTGCGGGCCTGCCCTAGCAGAGTCTCTCCATGGCTCCTGGCGCACCTGTGTGAGGACATGTGCTTGTCCTGACAGGTGAGCCCCACCCCGTTTCCCATCTCCTCTCCGCCTGCAGTTTTCAAGCACCTCAAACAGAGATGCTGTCGAGCAGCCTCACGTCTTTTAAATCGAGTCAGTCACGTGTCCTCACTGAGCCCACCTTGGGTCAGCGACCAGCCCCTCCCTGTACGGAAGCGCCAACTTAACCGCATCAGCACCACGAGGGAGGTTTGAGCTCCTGGGCTCCTCCTTGTGGGGTCGAGGTTCCAACAGTGTTTCTCTCATGACCACTGAGCCCAGGGGTCCGTGCACCTGTAGCTGCCACAGCCTCACTCGTACCTTTGCATACTGTTCTAGGTGAGTCTACGGTTTCCATTTCCAGAGTCCTTCACATCAAAGGGACCTCCTGGAAATGCCCATCTTGATAAACCAGTTTCTGCATGAGCCCCATTTATAGTCAGGAGACCCAGCTGCCTGTAGAAGGCTCATCTGCAAACACCACTCAACACACACACTCATGAGACATGTTTCAGGCAAACCAACAGCAGGGACAGAGGAGTGATGACTCAGGGGCAACGTACCCTCAGCTGGGTCTCTGAAAAGCTCCTCACTCAGGTCCGAGGTAGACTCTGGCCCCTGCACAGCAGGGTGTGCTGGGTCAGCAGGTGAGGTTGTGGGCTCATTGCCCAGACTGCTGGGGGGAGCCCCTGGCTCTGAAGAAGTCACGGTTCCCTCCTGAAAGGAAGAAGGTGGTCACCTGGGTGGTACAGTTTGAGTATCTCTTGAAGTTGAGGGTCCCGGGTGGGGCCTCTGCCTCACCCAAGTCTTGTCAAGGTGAGGGGTGTGGGGGTAGAGGATGGGGGGAAGCAATGTGTACCAACTGGTCACCACTGGCCTCCCTCTCCTTTATTTTTTAAAAATGTATCTATTGATTTCAGGGAGAGGGAGAGAGAGAAACATCAATGATGAGAGTCGTCATTGATCGGCTGCCTCCTACACGCCCCCTGCTGGGGATTGAGCCCGCACCCAGGCATGTGCCGACTGGGAATCGAATCCTGATCGCCTGGATCCTAGGTCGACCGACACTCAACTGCTGAGCCACGCCCGGCAGGGCTCTCTTTTATTTCGATATGCAAACAGTGGCAAGAGTGCAAAGATGTGCTCATGCTCAGACACACACACACTTCATACCTGGCCCACCGGTCCCAAGGCTCCTGCTGTGGTCTGCAGCACAGGTGTGCCATCTGCTGAGGCTGGAGGCACCTGCCTGAAGAGATGGGGCCTGCTCAACAGGGCCTGCTCCCCCCGCCTCCCTAGGAGCTGAGCTGCCACCTTCCCTGTGCGCCCTCACCTAGAAAGCCAGGCACTGGGGCTAAGACGGGTGGCCAGCAAAGCCCACCACCCTCGCCTGCAAGAGAATCTGAGCCTTGGAGGAGGCCTTGGAAGCAGGTGGGGGATCTGAGGGCTTTTCAGCTCAATGTCAGCAACCCCAAGAATCACTTGTCCTTTTTACCAGAAACCCAAGTAAAGAAGCCAGTGGGTGGGGGGCAGCCTTGCCAGGCAGTTCCAGGACTTGGGGGGGGGGGAGCTAGGGACGGTCAGGGGCTCTGCCTACAAGTGTGAGTACAGGTACTGGCTAAGCCTCTCTTATCACCCAACACTGGGTGGCCACTAAGCAAGGAGCAGGGAGAGATTCACACACCCAGACGCTCGCCTGAGGACCCACATGCATAGGGGCTGACAGCCCTCACTCGGTGCCCTTGGAACTACAGAAGTTTCCTTCTCTAGGTAACTTTTGGGGGAGGGAACCTAACAGGACATGGCCCTGCTCTCTTTCCTCGATCTCACAATAGCCCCCTGCCCTGAGGACCCTTCTCAAGGGGGTGTAAGTGGCATTTCTGGTGCCGGGTTCTCCCACAGTCACCCCGACATCACCACCCTCACTTACTTGCTCGGAGAAGAGTCCCCTGCGGCCCCAGGCCCTGCCGGCCTGCTCTGAGGACATTCTGGGGAACAGGCCTCCCCACTGCCTCCGAATGGGTTGAAGTTTGGGTCATCAAGCTTGTCCCAGTCCAGGTCGTAGGAGCCCCGGGTAGGAGGAACAGAACCCTCCTCTGCCTCCTTGGGGGCCTTTTCCTGCCTCACCTGTGGTCTCTTCCCCAGTTTCCTTGGTGGGGGTGGCTTTTTGCTGGCAGCAACATCAGAAAAGTCAAATTCTAGCCTTATGGGACCATTCCTCGAAGAGTTGGCTGTTTGGCAGCTGGTCTCTTCTTTCCAAGGACTTGGGGCTGTTGCCCCTCCAGCCTTCAGAGGGCCTGCTGGGGCAGTGTTCTCAGGACCAGATGTATCCTCAGGGCTGGCCAGGGCCCCAGGCAGGTCTGCGAGGGGGTCTTCTCTGAGGGCTACTGTGGGGCAAGTACCAGGGGGTGAAGTGGCCCCAGCTGAGGAGGCAGGGGGTCTGTTTGAGCTTTCTCCTGAGGCTCTGTGAGGGTCCTCTGTTCTGTCTGGGGATGTGATCCTGGGAGGATCTAGAACTTCAGAGGTGGATGTCGTGGTTTTCTCCAGGGAATAAGAACTAGGGTTTTCCTGCAGACCTTGCCCAGGGCCATCAGACATCCCGTGTGGAGATGCCAGCTGGTTTTTAAGACTCGCCGGGGTCTGCGGACAGCTTGAGGGGTCCAGGCATCCCTGGGGAGTGGAGGTGGGCCCGTCGTCAGAGGCTGGTCTCACGAGCTCTGGAGGGGCGTGGGTGTCAGCCACTGCAGGTTTCTGCAGGATTCCGTCTGTTGCTTTGGTGTCCACTTCCTGGGTGAACTGTTGGCTTTCAGAAATAGACTTAGTTAACACTAGTGAACCCACTGGCTTTTTAAGCGGATTTTTGTCTACACTGAAAGCATTAGCTAAAACAGAAAAAAAGGACATTCAGTGAACCCTCTCTTCACACTAAACTTTCACAAGTATGTATTCCCATAAGTCACTGCTGGGGGGCCAGCTGGGGACACACAGGCCACTGAGAGACAGAAGAAATGTGATAGACCCAAGGTCAGGTTTTCTGTGCTAGCCTATTTTGCCTCATGGTTCAGGCCCCTAGCTACATAGCCCAGGACAGTCAGCCAGCTTTTCACTGAGGAGAGGAAGGCAAGGATAGGACGGCTGTCTCCAGCTACAGCAGGGCCTGGCTCCCAGGACCGCCTTCCCTGGGTTCTCTCCTGGTTTCCCCAGGCCTCTGCTCTGTGGTCTTTGAAGCAGGTGACACCCCAAAGCCAGGAGGCAGGGTCTCAGCAAGTGGGTTTTCCTTCCTTCTTGGGGTTGTTATAAAAGAACAATATTGCAGTCACTCTAATCTCTTTCAGTTGAATTTCAAAAAGAAAAGTACAGCTCTGGCCTGTGTGGCTCAGTGATTAGGGCATTGGCCAACCCACCGAAGGGCTGCAGGTCGGATCCCCAGTCCTGGTTGGGGTGCTTGCAGGAGTCAACCAATTGATGTGTCTCTCTCACATTAGATTTTCTTTCTCCCTCCCTTCCTCTCTCTCTAAAAATCAATGGGGGGAAATATCCTCGAGTGACGATTAACAAAAAGAAAAAATTCAGGTTTGAGAAGCTTCCACAGGGAAACGGGAACACAGTGTGGAGAATGTTTTACTCAAGTTGGGTGAAGGATACAATAATGATATTTTGCTCAAATATCTTTCACTGTACACCTGAAATCTGCTTAAGAGAAAAAGCAAGTTTTAACAGCTTAAGTCAGCAAAAGTCAGAATAAAAACGTGCAGTGAAGACCCTCCCCACTCTGGATGCAGAGGGTCCCTGGAAGCCCATCGGGTCAGTGCAGCTTAATTTAAGAGAGCTGCCGGCAGGGTCCTCTTTCCTAGACAGGCTAAAATTAAAGCTGCGGCAGCTGCTCAGTCGACCACCACCCAAGTCAAATACCTAAGGCCTAGTAAGGCTGCACAGAAGCTGCTCCTGGTTAAAGTCAAGTGTTTAAAACCCAACCCCCAGGCTAGGATGCTGACTAGGTTACACAAAGACAATTCCTCTGCCTCTGAGAGTAAGACCTAACTGTGAGCTTTCTCCAAGGCTTGATATTAAGAACATAATATGTAAGTAAAAGAGAGATCCCAGTGGATGCAAAAAAGATGAAACCCAGAGGTGTGGTCAGGACACTTTATGAAGTCAGAGAGACAAAAACTAAGGCCAATTTGCTGGCAAGGGCACTGAGATGCCAAGTGCTCTGGGTCACGCACTGCACAATCCCAGAGCAGAGACCAGGAGAAACCAACCGAGGCGACAGACAACAAAACACAACTGTCCTCCATATCCCTCAGAGATGTTACAAAGTGTAGGACGTCAAAAGCACTGACACTTACTTCTCTTTTTGGGTCCAGATGCGAGGAGAGTTTTCTAATCCATTGGTGTCACCCAGAGCAAAACAAGCCTCAAGTTTGCTGCTCATGCTGGGACTTAAAATCTTGTGTGTCTGGGGATCCCGCAGAGGTGTCTGAAAAGTCACCTGTTGGGGAGGGAGGAGAGCACCTGTTCAATAATGCAAGTCTTCAGCCACACTAGCCAGGCTGCGCACTGCCTGCCAGCTAGGTTAAATCACCAGAAAAGCAGATCCCAGGGTGACCCAAGGTGTGGCAGAAGGCCAGCCTTACACAGGCAAAGCATACTCACCTTCATAGCTCTGGCTATGTTCTTGGGTGGCACATTTTCTTTCTGTGACAGACGGAGAACAGGCGATCTTCTGCTAAGTTCCGGTGGTGAAAACAGGAAGTTACAGTTTTCTGCACTTTTGTCATCAGTAACATTTTCGTCACTGAAGATCAGCAGACTCATCCTGGGGAAGCAGACGGTTTGTGTCACTGCGAGGGCCGTATCACCCGGAAGCACAGGCCTGACAGTGAGAGCTGGCCCGGCAGGGAGGGCCACTCCACAAGCAGTGTCCTCTGCCAGGCAGCCCCTGTCCTACTTCAGGGGACTGTGACTCTTCAGTGGGGCTGGGGTGCTGCCACCTCCCAAGACCAAGAGCTAGAAGGGCCTTCAGTGAGGGAGAAGAACCAGGCTCTCACTCAGACTCTGAGGGTAAGTCAGGAGACAGGTAAGCGCTGGCCTGGGAGAAAACTGGAGAAAGCCCAGCCCCCCGACAGGCTGCAGCTGGAGGAGGCGGCCAAGTTAGCAGAGAACAGAAAGGCACTGGGCTGGAAAGTGGGGACTGCAGAGGGCAGCAGGAGGGCCCAGCCCCGAGGAGCTGGGGAAGGAAACAAGCAGCGAGGAGTAGGATTACTATGTGGGTGGGGAGTGGAGCTTCTACATGGGGCCTGGAGTCTCAGAAACACACCAGGGGTCCCCAGCTACGCCCAGACCTGCTCTTCCCTCCCCCAGTCCTTGTGATGGTCACCAACATGGCATTTCCAATCTAGGAGCCACCGGAGCGCTGGGCATTGACCTACCGGGGGAGGGGGGGACACCACAGGTTCCCGCTGGCGGTGGGGTCCTGGGGGCTGTGGCTGGAGGGGCAAGGCCATGGGGGCTGGGGCAGGGGGAGCAAAGGCGGCCTGGAAAGAACGGTCTGGGTGGGAGGCGAGGGGAATTGGACGCCTTAGAGGGCGTGGGGGCGGCCAGAGGAGAGCGGGCAGCGGGCAGCCGGGCATCAGCCCCGGCTTGGCCAGCGGCCACCACGCTCCGGGCGGAAGCAGGAAAGTCTAGGGTGACTCTTGATCGTCGCCTGAGCCGCTGGGACGAGCGGCGCGGGGGCCCCTTTGCGGCAGTTCCCCGCGGGGGCGGAGGGCAGCAGAGCACCCGGGCCTCGGTCTTGATCAGGCTCGGCTCCTGCGGCCCGCGGGGAGCACGGGAAGGGGGCCCGAGC